CAGGAAGGACACTGTTGTCAATAAGTAGTTCCAGGTCAACTAGATATTCATAAAGGAAACAGTGACTAATCCCCATCTCTCAACTTACACAAAAGTCATTTATGGGGAAAAATGTGAAAGGAACACATAAAATGTCTAGGACATAACTAAGGACATCTCTTCATGACCTTGGAGTTATTAAAGGTTTTTTAAACTGAATACAAAAATACTGACTATAAAGGAAAAGATGGATGAATTGGCTTTCATTCCCACTGAGAGCCTAGGTTCATCAGAGACAGCATTAAAAGAGGACAGAAAATCAAGCCACAGAGTGGGATAGATATTTGCTCTCCTTTTAGCCAATAAAGTACTTATTTCCATGATATACAAGGTAATAAGGCTTATTACCTGTAAAGTAATAGAGTCAGACAACTCCGTGCGTGGATGAACTGAGCCTGAAGGTGCTGCCAGGAAGCCAACAGAAGGAATGGAGATGGAGGAGGGAAAGCCACCTGATCATTTTCAGAAACGAGGGTCACGACTCTCATTCACTCATCACTGCCCAATTATCTAAGGAATAATGAATTTTTGTTCCTCCACCCCTCGGGCCAAAAAGGGGGGAAAGGCATGAACACGTACTCAAGAAAAGATCTCCAAATGGTCAATAAAGATCTGAAAAGGTATCCAACCTCACTGGTCAAATAAAATCACCGTGATACACTTTCGGAATCCCTGTGATTTAAAACATGATATTGAGGGAGGTGAAGTATGGAGCCTCCTGTGCCATATGGGTGGGGATTGGTGAAACCACTGTGGTAAACAGTGAGGTAGGTGCCTTCTCCTGAAGTGAGCACCCGCACAGGGACTGTGCAGTGGGCCCTCTGTCCAATAGTACATGGGCTTGTGTGCTTCAGAAGACACACCAGGACGGCCCCTGCGGCCCGTTTGTGAGCCCCAAAGGGAACTCAGATTCCCACCACCAGCAGAATGGGCCACTCTCCATTGCCGACTCATTCCTCAGGGCACGAAACAGCCATGGAAATGAACGGAATGCCACTCCTGCAGTCCCGCTGATGAGTCACACACACATGGTGTGGAAAGAAAGAGGACACGGTTCGGCCTATTTGTGCCCATTTCTAACACAGGCCGAACACTGGCTAGTGTACGGAAGCCTCCGCGGAGGAAGAGGCCTGAGTGATGTGGGAGCCTGGTGTCCCTGCGTTTTGTACGTGCGCCCACTTTGGGAGAAGACAGGCTATGGTTACACACTTACCTCTGTCATTCTTCAATCCAAACTTAAAAAGAGTTTTTTAGTAAAATACACACACGTGGCGTGGGGGAAGTTTGCCACCAGCAGATACCACCAAACATTTTAGTTTTGAAGACTATGCTTTTGTCACAGGGAAAGTGATCCCAGATGGAAGATCTGAGATGCAGGAAGGAAAGGAGAGCAGAGAAAGTGGTAAATGGATGACTAGTCTAAAAAGCTGACAGTATGAAGGAAATGGTGGGGCTTAAAAATTAGATTTAGAGTATGATGAGGAGAGTGAGAGCGCAAGTCTCAAGTAAAAGGTAGGATGTTGCTGATTTGGCCCAAGACACCAGCCGGTGTCTGTGGGTGGCGCCGCAGCCCCTCTGGCAGATTAACCCCAGTGCCCTGAGTTTCCCGAGGTTATCTGACTACCACACCACCCTCAGGGCACCCTGCAGAGCACGAGCGGAGCGTCCACCCTTGAGCCGTGTCTAGTGTCTGTGATTTTGTACTGCTTTTCTTGAAAAGATCCTCTAAAATTATATAAGCTGTAGGCCACACAAAACCTGGATTTGCCCACCAGCTCCCTGGTTCCTCAGGTAGAAAGATCGCGGGAGCTGGGTACCAGAAAGATGCAAAGAGAAGGACCACCAAGGTGGACCGGAATGTGGGAATCTGTGTTTCAGCTTGGTTCCTGTGTACCATCCCCCTGACCCTCCTGGTCACAAGCCATACCTCACTACTGCCTGAACCCTGAGTCGATCCGAACCCCTGAGCTGAGGCCCCTTTTGTGGGGGAGGAGCAGCAGCCTCTTTCCTGGGCAGACCCGTGCTCCCCTCTTGGCCCCGCCTGTCGAAGGAAAAGGACCCGGAAGGCCTCCTGGAGGCCCTGCCCAGCACTCGCCTACCCATGGGGCTTGTCTGGTTTACACATCCCCTTCAGATCACTCCCTTTGACCACACCCTTCCCAGCTCTGCTCAGGCACCAGGCTGTCAGGAGGAAGTGAGCTGGGAGGACTTGCTCCTTCACTGACCTGGCTGATGACCTGCTCCCTGGGAGGACCGCTGGGTGTGACCACACAGGGGCACCTGGCCCCCAGCCAGGTTGAGTGGGAGTGGGTCAAGGCATGTTTGTGGACTCCCAGGCTCTCTTTGCTGACCCCTGGGGGTGGCATACCTAAGTGAGGACCTCATGCTGGCCACAGGCCCGGGGCAGCCCCAGGAACCCCGTTAGCTCCAGACCTGGCTTATCACAGCCCAGCAGCTCCTTGTTACTCGCTTCCTCCAGCCTTCACTGGTCTGTGTTTGGGGGCTTTTCAAGAATGATCTCAGTGCAGTGGGCGAGGCCGACCCAGGCTGTGGGCTGCTGACAACAAGGAAAGCCTGTGTGTGAGCTCCGTTGGAGTTTATCACAGACCCTGCACATAGACCTCTTGTGTCCCCAGTAGTTTACTTCTCATGCTTCTCTCTCCAGCTGGGACCAGAACCCCAGAGGTTCTGAATGCCAGGAGCTCCCAGGCCTTGCTCCTGCCCCACCCCCCACCCACTCAGTTGGGGGAGTTATTTTGCCTATAAGCCATGGAGCTGGGGCTTTGAGGGCTAACCGTGGACAAGGGTGGGCTGTCAACTAGGGTCAGTTCTTCCTCCCACAGGACACTGATCAATGACTGAAGACACTTTTTTGGTCACACTGGGGAGGGGGTGCTATTGGCATCTAGTGGGTGGAGGCAGGACCTGCTGGCGCAGGAGGTAATGTGAGCAAAAGGGTAGGAGGGAGGGAGGAAAGGCCCCCATTTCCCCAGTGCAGCCAGGTGCCCTCAGGGCCCGGCTGGCTTCCCGTCCACAGGACATTGCTTTCTTTCCGTGGCCTGGATGTGGGGTTGACAGTAGAGTGACACAAAAGGGCAGGGGAGAAGTGCGTAGAGGGATGTCCTAGCCCCAGGTGTTCTCCCCCTGACGTCTGTATGCAGCCTTCACTGGGGAAGTGGGCAGTGCATCAACCAGATCGGGGCCCTCTTGTGGAGGCTCAGGGTGCAAGGGACATGCCTGTCCCTGGGGGCCTTGCTCAGACCCATGACCCGAGGGGGCCCTCCTCTCTGGGATGCCCTCACAGTCCCTCCAGCCCTGGGCCCCTCTTCTGGGAGGACGGCCCAGGTGGCAGAATGTACAGGCATGGTGGGGGCAACAGAGAAATGAGCAGAGGTGAGGGTATAGAAGCACTAGCCTCCATACCCAGAGATACGTGGATGGAACAGCAGATCCACGCAGAGGTGAGGGGCACCCCACAGAGAGCACTGCCACTGTGCAGGGAATGCTGCGCGGGGAGAGGGCCAGCCATGACCTCCACAGCCCAGCACTTTGGCACGTGTCTCCTGTGAACACAGGCTCTCCACAAGCCTCAGTGCGTCGTCAGAACCAGAAGGCAACACGGTCCATCTGACCCCATCCTGTGGCGGGCGCCCTTATGGCTTTTAAATGCTCGACCTGTGCCCGCGGGGTGCGGCGATTGCCAGAGAGAGAGCAAGGCTTCTGCTTACTAAAGAGAGTACGGTCGCAAGAAAGGGTGATCTTGGAAAGATACCCCTTTTCCCTGAAATACAATACACCCTACGCCCTCCAAAAAGCACTTGGGGTCGTCGGCCCTTACCTGGGCTGTTGAGAGTGTTCCACCCACGTTGGTGTGTTTACCACAACGACGGCTGATAGCCTTTGCATCTCTGGGTGCCAGATGTGGCAGACTGCGGCCAGCAGAGTCTACCTGTTGTGGCTGACGATGAGAATAAATGCACAGGTGACAGCAATCCTGTGGAAAAAAAGGGACGGCACAGCTACTCTCTCAAGGGGAGCGTGCCTGTGGTGCCTCGGCCACTCCCTGAAGAGGAGAGCACCTCCGCCCTTGCCTAGACAGGCTTTTACTGTTTTCCTCGGGTCTTACATCAGAGAAAGATTTATTATCTATCACACAGAATATTATTGCCTACATTTTAGGTACAATCAAGGAAATGAAAATAACATGCAGAGGGGAATGGCGATGGGCTGATTAGCTCTGTCCTTGGGCAAATTCACACAAGCTTTGGGTATTAGCTTGAAGATAAACAATGCACATTTGTTGTTTTAGACCAGGGTGAGGGAGTTTTAGCAAGAGCAAGCCATAACAGTCTGTATGCATTTTCTAGGTCTGATTCCCACGGGGACACTGGGTTTGAAGGTCTGGCTCCTGCCCACCACCTTGCTTCTGTAGGTTTTCCATACAGAGCTGAGTCACATTTGCCAGACTAAAACTGGTCCCCTACACCGTCCCAGTTGGGCTGGAGAGCAGAGGGTCCACCTGTGCTCAGCACTGACTTTTCACCCCCACCGCCGTCTCCTTCAGTCTGTGCAGTTTCTCTCATCTGTCCCAGTGTTCTTGGCCTTGGCACGTGGCTGGGTTCATAGGATGTCTGGTGTCTTCTGGAGATGAGATTCCAGTTGGGCAGGAACAGCAGGAAGTGTGGCCGTGCCTCTCCATACGTCCCTAGCGGGGTGGGGGCAGGGGAGCGGGTAAAATTTTAATTAGTCCCATTACTGGCCATGTGAATGTTGATTGTTTAATTAATATGGTGTCTGCCAGGCCCCTTCCCTGCAAAGTTACTCTTTCCCTATTTATTAAAAATAAGTATTTTGTATGCAAGTACTTGAAAACTATGTAAACATCTCCTGCTTCCTCCAACTTGCACTTATTTGTCTGTTCATCTGCCTATGAACTCATGAATTACAATTTTTTTCAACAGGGTGTAATCTGTGGCTCTCCGTGCACCCCATCAAGCTGGCTCCCGAGGCACTGACAGCGCCCAGGCTCCTGAATGGCTCCCTGGCCATCTGATGTGTCAAGATGTTCCAGGAGCATCTGGTATTTTTCCTGCCTGGGCAGAACCAGCCGTCTCTTCAAGGAGTCCTGTTCACTTTTAGAGGAAGATGGTATTTAGAAACCAAGATCTGGGTGCTGGGGGTGCTCCTGCTCCTGCTCCTGGGGCGTCCCAGGTCCAGCCCTCCCGGTGAACAGAACTGGGCAGTGTGTGTGTGCGCACACATGCATGTAACAAATACATGTGTGTATGTGGTCTACACCCACACAAATGTACACTCGCACAAATGCACTCACTCGCGCACACACTTTTATCTGTATTTATCTGCCAGTGAATCCCTCCAGTCAGCCAACTGCTGACTCCCGTCCCTTGCCAATTGGACTGTTTTGACTTCACTGGTACACAGCATTTTCACTTGATCCAGATCAGGATTCTGTGGCCCTGAAGAAGCATCTCCCCTGGACCTCTAATTTGACAGAGTAAGCACGTGGGCTCACCCAGAAACCTGGACAAGTAGCAGAGCTCCATTTGCAATTGAGGTTCTCTGAACAGATTTCTGACCTTAGCTGTGTTCTTTATAAGAGCAAAAAGTTGCAAAACTCATCATGCCCATCAATGTCTGTGAAATGTGGCTTGGGCGACTGGCACAGAATTCTTGACTCCTGATCTAGGGTCAGGGTCAGAGAGCTGAAGCCTGTGGAGGTGAGAGGAGAGAATTTTAGGGCAAAACAGCTTGGACTTGGGTCCGGGGCAGCACAGTGGAGGAGAGAGCACTCTGACCTGTGTCCAAGGACACCTGGGACTCCCTGTTTGCTGGGGTCTCGATGGACGCCCCTGCACCCTTGCTTGTGGGCCAGCACTGGCTCCTGCTCACTGGACCGCTGTAGAACAAGGATGGGGCCGGGAGAAGCAAGTCCAAGTCAGAACAGCAAGTAGGTCAGTGTTCCCAGCTCTTTCTTCCCCCTGCTGCGGGACCCCGTGCACCCTGTTTCCTTCACAGATGTGGTTAATCAGAGGGGAAACCACAGCTGACTGCGGCCCATTTCCTGGCCCGCCTCCCATTGGTTGAGGTGACTGGGTGGGCCGAGCCTACTTCCCACTTCTGCCACCATTTGCTCAACTAACCACTGGTGCTCTGGCCTAGAGATCCCACCCTCCTTTCTCCCCTAGTTGGGCTGCAGAATGGCCTGGCTGGAGCCAGAAGTACTGAGGGAAATGTCTCCAGGAGGGTCAGACAGAGGGACAGTATTAAACCCCCAAACTCATGACCTTTCTCCCCATCCCAGGGCTGGATGGGTCCCACGGGCCAAGCTGTGAGGGCCCCGGGCAATATCTGCTGGAGGGAGGGGCAGAATTGTGCCACAGACCTGTGCCCCCAGACGACTTGCCTTGAAACTAAAGGAGCCCTTGGACCACTGGAGAAAGAGAACATGGGAAGGAACATCAGCCATGTGGGTGCCCAGGATTCAGGAAGTGTGTTCTGATGTGTGCCAAGGGCCCTCAGGACAGGCCGCCGGCCTTCACTCCAGCCTCGAGGAAGAGAAGCTGATTCTCTCTGTATAGGTGAGGCCCAGCCCAGTGTGTCCAGACCTCAAAGCCCTTTCTCAGCAGGAACTTTATGGTCCTAGTCCCTCCTGGGAAAGGAGGTCCCTGGTTCACTTCTGCTCATCAACTGGTATTTCTCTTCATGGTCTGACAAGACCCTCTTACGTGTCAAAGGGACCCTGTTGTTCTGTAGTGGTGATGGTAGACTAAAACCGGTGAATTGCACATGTCATATCAGTGAAATGTATGGAATGTGAGTTATATCACAATAAAGTTGGAATTGTTAAAGGGCCTTATTCTAATTACAATAAATAAATGAGTGGAAACAGCATAAGTGTTGGTACTTCACTATGCGTTCTGTCACTCCTTTGTTCTTCCTACAAATGGATGTAGAAGGGAGGCTGGGCACCTTTCCAGCTTCCTGATGAGGAAGTCGTGCGCCGTCACAGGCCCAGACAGGAAGTGGGAGGGTAAGTCTTCTGTCCGTAGATTCTGACTGTGGCGCTTTCCCCATCTCACTGTGAGCCAAACTCTCACGGTTTAACCCTGCCCCCAGCCCTGTATAATCTGGTCATTTTCAGTTGGGATGGATTAATCTGATTCCGTTGACCTTTTATTGCTTTTCTCCGAACTCTCTTTGTTTTGACTTCTCTCTAGGATAGCACTGTGGTGGTCAGCTTCCAGGGTGACCCCACTGACCCATGCCTCTTGGTGTTCACACCTTCCCAAGTTGAGTCAGGGGTGGTCTGTGTGACCAGCAGAATGTGGTGGAACTGACGGAGCGGAGTCCCAAGGTCAAGCTATAAAAGGCACTGCAGCTCCACCTTGGTCTCTTGCGTGGCTCACTCTGAGGGGAGCCAGCTGCCGTGACATCACAGGCCCTGTGGAGGGGCCACTTGAGGTCTCTGATCACAGCACCAACTTGCCATGTGAGGAGACACCTTGGAAGTGATTGTCCCGCCAAGCCAAGACTTCAGGTGAGACCAGCAGCCCCAGACGACCCAGAACCACAACTACCTGAGAGACTGCAGCAAGACTGTCCATCGAGCCCTCTCTAGAGAAAGGGGGTCCTGGTTGCAGTTTAGCAATACCGTCACTGCAGTAATGTGGGAAATAGATCCTGCACCCAGTGAACCGAGTGACAGAGAGAGCAAGATTTGTAAGCAGAATGTCAAATGTGACCTCTTTTAGCCTCTTATACTAAAATGAGAGATGGATAAACTAAAAGATGGATGGTTAAATATAAAGGGGATATCTTCTGTGATTTAAAATAGCTTATTTTCATCCCCAGACCCTCACAGTGTTAAACAACGCTAAAAATAAGACAGGGGAGGAGTGTGGATTACCTGGTGACACACAGCAGGCTCTGGGGCCAGCCTCTGAGGTGGCGGCAGTGATCCCCACCTCGTGGTACACAAGCCCTCATGCACTTCCCTCCCACACAGAACTAGGACCGGCCCCGAATGGCAAACATAACATGGTGGGAGTGACAGTGTGGGACTTCCCCTGGAGGCTAGATTATAAAAGCCTGCAGCTCCACCTTGGTCTACAGGATCACTCGCTCTTAGAGAAGCCCCCTGCCATGCTGTGAGGACACTCAAGCAGGCATGTGGAGAGGATCTGAGGCCTCAGTCAGTGCCTGCTGTGTCAGGAGCTACCTTGGAAGGGGTCCTCCTGCCCCAGTCCAACCTTCAGGGTGACCACAGCCCCTGCTGACATACGACCACACTGCATGACATAGCAGAAGTGAGAGCTGCCCAGCCAAGCCCTCCCCACAGCCCTGGCCAACAGAGAGTGTGAGACCTAAGTGATTTTGCTGTTTTGAGGCACCAGGTTTTGGGGTGCTTTGTAATAGCAACAGATTACTGAAATAAGCACCCATCCCTGCACAGAGTATAAACCAGGGAATGCACTGTATTTTCAGACCACGGACAGACCATGCCATCTATTTTTTCTCCCCAAGACGCTGGTTAACGACCCTGGGGTAACTGTACTCTGACCAGCATCAAGTACTCACTTTGAGGTTTTGGCTTCAGTCAGTATTGATGCATCTACTGCAGTGTGCAGGGACATGAGGGGGCATCCTCATAGCATTGGTCATTTAAACAGGCCCGCCACCAGTCACCCTCACTGAATGACAACCAGCCTAGCAAGGTCACCTCTTGGGAGGCTGTGTTCGGTTCTTGACTCCTGAAAGCTGGGCATGCTGTTAGCAGAGGACATGCTCTGTGTCTGCTCCACGAAGGAAAATGCTTGCCTGAAATGCCTAATCAGAGCCCTGTGGGTGAACCAGTGATGCTTGACCTTGCCGGAGCTGTGGTAATAGCTGGGGGATCTTAAAGTGCCGATGCCCGCCCCAGCCCTGAGGCTGGCTCAGTTGTCTGGAGTTGGACCAGGTACTCTCAAAACAGACTTATCCAGGGCTCTCGTGTGCAGCCGTGGTTGAAACCAGCGGTTTAAATGTATCAGATTCATGCTTATAAAGTTTTTTTCAGGCCTTGTTTACAAAATAGAGCTCTTGGTTAAAAAGTAGAATCCAAATCCTGGCAGTCCTCATCTGAGGAAACTGTTTCTGGAAACGGTGGTCTAACCTGAAATGCTTTGGGTTTAATTGCATTTTGCCACAGGAAAAAGTGCCGTGGTGCTGGAAGGGCAGTCTGGGGCCTGGCTTTTTAAACAGAAATGGCTGTGGACCTGTAGTTAACTGGCTGTGTGCTCGCTTTGCACGCAGTTTCCCAACTGTATAAACCTCATCACGAAAGGAAACACTGTAGAGAAATCCACGTTTTATTAACTCCCGAGGCTCCTTCAGACAATAGATTCTCCGGACTCAAAGTTTCCATCTTGTATGGTCAGAGGCAGAGCCAGTAGAGTATAGATGTATAAAGAAACTTTTTTTGAGGAATTGGCTCACGTGAGCGCGGGCCTGGCGAGTCTGAAGTTTGCAGGGCAGGGCAGGAAACAGTGGGCGCTGACGCGGCTGTCCAGAGCGGAACTTCTCCTTCCTCATGGAAACCTCAGTTCTTCTCCAAAAGTCTTCCAGCTGAGTGGGTGAGGCCCACCCACATTATGGAGGGTGACAGTCTTTACCTGAAGTCCGACAGCAGAGGTTAACCGTGCCTACAAATACCTTCACAGCAAGCCCAGAGAAGCATTTGATTGAGTCACTGAGATGACAGCATGGCCGAGCCATCCCAGGTCCTAAACTCGGCTTGAGATCCGCCTGTCCCTTCCTCAGAGGGGCCTTTCCTGGTCACCCCCTAAAATAGAGACCCTGATGGAATTTTCTGCCCAAACACACCTCTCTCGGGCACTTCCCACATTTCCTTGCTTATCTGCACTGATGATCCATCTGTTCTCAGTACAAGGTGAGCTCCCGAGACAGGGGAACTTTCGTCTCATTCATGCAAGGGAGAGTCCCCACTGCTTGGATGGAAGCGTTCAAAAGTGTGTGGACTATGCATTCATTTCCGCATGGCGCTTTGCGCACCATCGTTGCCCCCAGATGCTCACTGTGATGGTACCACTAAGGACAACTGGGATGAGAATCATGAGGCCACTGCCCTGAAAGGCAACATCGGACAAGCCCTGAAAGGGAAGCCCCACCAGACCAAGTTCAGCATCTTTCCAACTAGTTCTCATGCGGTGCAACTTCTCACCTCCCAGGATGGCTAAGGGCTTCGGTGTAAAACGGTTCAAGTCCCAGCCCTGCCACCTGTTAGCTGGAGGACTTGGGCAAGTCACCCTCTCTGTGCCTCACCATTCCCATCTGCAAGTTGGGCACAGTAATACCGACAACCTCCAGGTGGTTGGGAGGGTGCACATGAAAGTGGGCAGGGTCGCTGTGGACAGGCAGCCCCAGCAGAGGGCAAGGGGGTTGCTTGGGAAGCCGGAGGTGGGTGGTGGGAGGTTCGCTGATGTTGCAAAGGTCGAACCAACCGGTGACTGAAAATGAGGGAGGGAGAAGTCAGGATTGTTTTTTTTACTTTATAAATGTCTGGATTTTGAGGATGAGAAAAATTCATGCTTATTGTAGAAAACTTCAAAAATACAGAAAAGTGGAAAAACAAGATAAAGACCACCCGTGACCCTGCCATCCTTGCAGGACCCTGACGTCCTGCGAGGAGCGTGTGGCGTGTGGCAGCCTGCACAGCCTTGTCCCCGCACCCCCACTGCAGACGCTGCATTGAATGTTTCAGACACCAGTTAAGATGATTTGAAACTTCTAATGGTTTTATTTTAATTCACTGGTCCTCCATTTCCAAGGTTTTATTTTGTCAATTCCAGATAATTGATTACATCTAAATATACACTTATCTATAAATCCTGTGGAGGTAGAAGTTCCTTAAGCGTTCACTGCCCACGGGCTGCTGCTGACCTGTTTCCTGACATTTCCTAATTAGCCATCCCTCTATTTTGGGACATTTAGTTTCTGGTTAGTTAGTACATCTGCACCCTCCTTCCTGGATGTTGGATGCCTCTGTAGGGGACATTCTGGGGAATGCCTGTGGCAAAGGTTAGCAGCATTTTCACGTGCAGATACACATCGGATTGGCTGCAGTCCCAGGTGTGAGTTTCAGGCCTGGCTCGCAGGTGCCCCAGCCCCCAGGGCTTCCCAGGGGGCCCCTGTGATGGGACCAGGGGGTGGTGGAGTCTCTCTTTTGAATTTCAGTAATAACACTTCCAAAAATGTTACAAGTATTAAAGCGTTTAATCCTGAACATCATCCCCGCAAGAGGGGCACTGTTACCCAAATTTTAGCGGTGCGTACATGGAAGCTCAGGGAGGTTAGGCAACTTGCCTTAAGTGGCACAGCCAATAAGTGGTGAAGTCCCATTTGAATCCAGGCAGCTGGGTGCAGAGTCAGCATCTGACCCCTGCGGGGTGCTGCCTCTCTGGGCCGTGTGGCGTGGGTGCTGAGGGCATCTCGCTCTCTTCCTTCCTGCGGGGACTGACGGAGGCCCCCAGAAGGAGGCTCTGGAGATGTGCCTCCCACAGCTGGAACCTTGGGTGTCAGTTCTGGAATCAGGAATCAGAACCGAGATCCGGGACGTGTCTTTTTGGTCCCCCAACGTGATGGCTACTGACACTTGTTTCTTAAAGTTGTCTTTAAGAAACTTTAAGAAGTTTCTCAAGTTGAGAAGTTCTCAAACTTCTTGAGAAGTTTCTCAAGAAGAGAGGACACTTAAGACCCCAGAGACCCCTTTGGAGGGTTGTGTGACTCTCATGTAACCAAGAAACATACTGTGATGGCTTCATACAGTCAACAGTTGGACGGGAGCAAGGATGTGAGCATGCATACACGTGTGTGTGAGTGTGTC